GGGGTACAAAGTTGAAGAGAAATTATATCTGGGGGTACGCGAACAAAAAGGTTGAATACCACTGCTGTAAATGAAAGAGGGGCATAAAATATAAGAATGTTCTCATTTGGAAATTTCTTGTAGGAACTGGAATGCTACATTTGATCCTAGGCCTGTTAGAACAACAAACCTTTTACAAGACGCACTTAACATGCTACTAAGAGTCTGCGTTTTGTTGCCAGGAATTGCCCATCAAGAGTTCTTTATTATATAAGTGTCCTTTTTCACCCACTCCCAATTATATGTACTAGCCATATCTTTGAGATATGATGTTTAATGATGTCTTTATTACAAGAAAATACACGATAATGAATTCTTCGTTTGTTTTTCTTAGCGCCGGGATTATGATGCTTTCTTTAATACTGTATGTGTGTAAGTCAGGAGCTGGAAAGGAGACAAAGCCAATCAATTGTCCCCCTGGCGGAATTTTATGGCCTAAGAAATGCGACTCACTTTTAATGTAAGCTTCGGATGCAGGCGCCAACAATAATAACCTGTAGGGACATTAATTACTTGCAACAGTTGTGAAAAAGAACTTTGTATGTCCGTCCATCGGTCCATTGTGTCCTCTACTTGAATTTAATTTGTATTTCGTCATGTCTTTTGGGTAGTTTACTGATTTCGTATGAAACATTTATGAGGTGATGATTACAAACCTGGCGTCGGAATGAATAATGGAGTTTCCTTGAGGTCGTGAAATTAGAATTAGGCAGGTAATTTGAATTATTAGCTGTAAATTATGATTTTTAGTTTTAGGTTTCTTTAAGAAAGCAAGGTTATGTTGACAGTATTTATTTATTTATTTAGTGTTCTGTCGTACGACAGGTCCATATGACCAGGATCCTTCCATCCTTTTCTCGGACTGGGACCTGTTCATATACGTTCTTGGCAGATGATCCAGAAGTGGTTTGCCATTGCCTTCTTCTGTGTGTGTGAATGAAGTAATTGTTGGGATGCCACGGAGAAACCGGGGAAGCCCCCGGAGGAAAACTCCGTGTTGCCTAGACCACGGCCTTGCCCAACACAAGTTATAAATTCGGGCACCGCCGGGAATCGAACCCGAGACCCCAGGATTACAAGGCCAGCGTAGATTAACAAAATTCCAGAGCGTAAATTGCACAACAAGGAAGCAAGACCTTGAATAACAAAATTCTTTAATTAAAAATTTACGAGACAATGGCACAACATTGTCGTTCCCAGACAATAGAAATCTGAACAATGACAAAATGAATTCGTGGATGAACAGATAGGGGGGATTCATTACGCTGTTATCAGCACCGTCGCCTACGATGTAATGTACATCCCATTCTGTGACGGTGGAGGTAGTAAGCTCCTCCGAAACGTCGGTTAATTTCACGATGCAGCATGCCACATATCCGTCAAAATAACCAATTTATTGTGAAGACCACTAAATTACTTCTACTTCCATTTTATAATTTTAACATACATTAATTATAAAATCAGAATCCCATGTCTCTGTTAGGAGGACAAGCGAGCAAAGTCTGGGAACCTTATGCAAATATTATTATATATTACACTCCAGCAGTAATGTCTATATTTTATTCTTATAATTTTTCACTTCTCTCCTATTCTTCTACTGCCCTTTCTGATTCTCTGTTGTCATTCTTCAGAGGGTTAGCAACGGAGTTAGACGCTGGTAGTTGCCATTCTATTCGAAGTTACGAATCTCTGGCTTTGTCGAAGGAAGGGTAAATATTCTGGAAAGGCCAGAACATAATTAAAAATGTTCTGTTTCAAAGTAACTGTTCTTAATCCATTCTTACTACTTAACTACTGAATTTTACAGACTCGATATTTTAAGACTCCTGTGTGAAACCGTAACTGAGCCCCTTTAAGATAATTAAGTTCATTCAAGTAAAACCAGACAACTCAAAATATGGTACGTCTGTTTGCTACTGAAACACGGGGCAGTGCGAACGAGAAAGAGTGAGGAAGACGCAATTTCACATGCGAAGGAAACAGAAGCCGATTAGGGGATCATCTGTCATGAGGAAACACAAGAATTGTGATTAAAGTTTTGCCCGGGGAGGTTTTAAAAGCTATTCTATCAACGACAATGATTCCTCCATCTGCACATGAGAAGCAGACGATCATGTTTCAAGTAAGACACAGAAGAAATTAAATTTAGTCGCAGAGAAATTTGAAATTTTTGTTTTCTGTGCCTTTTAAGAGGGGAACAGATCACTGGGAAGACCTAGTTGTAGATGGTAGTGAAGTACTTTCGAAGGGCGCAGACTGGATTCATCTGGCTCAGGATTGGGACTGGTATTGGACACGCTAATAAAACTTTTGGTTCCATAAAAGACGCGAAATTTCTTGACTGTCGCCGAGTGACTTAGTTTTCGTCAATGGAGCTTGTTAGTTAGGTTATAATAATAACACAGCTAATTCAGAAATAAGCAGCCATTAAGGTAACGCATTGTTTAAAGATGTTTGTGTCTACATTGATCATGATT